TCCCGTCATCGGCAGGGGGCAAACAAGATCTTCGATCGATGTCTGTCCCAGAAGTGAATAGCACGACTTAGTTGTTCATGAGCTAGCAGGGCGATTGCGCGGATCAGATGGGGCAGCTGCGTCGATCGACTGATATAACAACTGTGTGGACATCTCAACCTTTTTCTCCCTTGCCTCGTACTGCACTTCGGGATGGACCTCGGAAAACGTCGGCAATCGGTTACACGCAGGACGGTCGACAATCGAACTTGATTAATAGGCCGACTTTGCGACATCAAGGGAGCCTCTGGCCCTGTGTTCTGCTGCCTAAATCCTCCACTCTCCTGGGGCGACGGGGCCCTCGGAAGGGCCCTGTCTCCAGTCCAACTCCACTGTGAGACCGCTCGGCCCCCTCCTTGTGAGTTGGCGGATCTGGCTGCCCCCTCTTGTGGTCCGAGCCCGGCGCGCGCGGGCGGTCGTCGTCGTCGTCGTCCGTCTGTCGTCCTCGCGCGCGCCCCTCTCTATTCTGTTCCCTTCCGTTCTCTTTCCCGCTCCTGTCACTGCCCTCTGCCTGTCTCCTCCTCCTCTTTCTGCCTGCCCTTCCCTTCTCGGCGCCGGCGTCCCAGAGGCCGCGCCGAGGCGCGCGGGAGTGGTGACAAGCGCGTGGGCCCCACGGTGCACCACGATAGCCCCGCCGAGGCAGCGGGCGCCCGCGACGGGAAGCCGAGCCGCAGGACGGCCCCCAGGAGGGCTCCACGACGGCCCCGACGCGCCCCCAAGGCGGCCCCAAGACTCGGGGGCACCCAAACATGGATCAGCGACGCATGGATTCGGCGCGCGGTCGCCAAATCCATGGATCGGGGGAGGTGCCCTCCCCAAAAATGCGGCTGGTGCTGCCTCGTTCGGCGGCGGAAGTCCGCGATTTCCCATGGAAGCGGGGCCCGTCGCTAATCCACGCCCCCTTGATCCATGCTTGCGATCGCCTGAAAGACGGCCCAGAGCTGCCTCCGAGGCCCATGACGCGTCCCAGGGAGGCCCCAAGACGGCCAAGCGCTTCCCAGAGATGCCGAAAGGCAGCCCTCACGCGCTGCAAGAGGGCTCCAAGACGGCCCAAAGCTTCCAAGAGATGCCAAAGGCAGCAGCTGACGCGCCCCAAGAGGGCGCCATCAGACGGGCCGAGCGAGCCTGAAGACGACCTTGCATGCCCCCAAGGCGCCCCCCACGGAGGATTAAGGCCTGCAGATCGAGGCTCGATGTGTCTGGACGACCTTGTGCCCTGAAAGTCGGGTGGAGCGAAAGGGGGGGATAGCAAAGGGTAGGGTAAAGAATCGGCTCACATAATTGATCTTTTCCAGCGCCTCCCGGCGCCAGGAGTCGCCCATGTATCGAGGACTGGGCCTGGCGGCGGGGGGCCGAAACCAGCTGCATGCAGCAAATGTCGTACCCCCCTCTTTCCATATCTCCCTTTTCGTTCGGCCCGGGAAAGCTTCCGGGGAGCTCCTCGGCGAAACGGCGCTGACCCCCCCCCCCTCTCGCAAGCTCTGAACGACAACGACAGCCCCAGGACCCGGGGCGGGTGTGCAGCAGGCTGCAGGGAGCAGCGGGAAGAGAGAAGGGGGCCGGCGGCAGACGGCAGCGGGGGGAGGTCTCGGGCCGAGAGGGGAGGGAGGCCAGGAGCGGGAGGGAGGGAGCCGAGTGCGGAGGAGGGGAGGGAGAAGGGAGGGATGGAGGGAAGAAGGGGGAGGAGGAAGGGGGAGGAGGGAGGGAGAGGGAGCGGGGATCTAGCGGGGAGGGAGGGAGGGGAGGGAGGGAGGAAGAGGAGGGGGTCTGAGGAGGCGGAGGGGCCCGGCGCACCTGGCGCGCCAGGCGTGCCTGGCACGCTTGGGTTCCGGGGGTGCGCGTGGACCGCCTGGCACGCGTGGCGCACCTCGTCCCAGCGTCGCACACATCGGGCTGGTTTTGGTTTCCAGTAGCTGCCCATCCATACACGACCGCTGATCATGCTGAGACCTGGGTGCTACGTGTTGGGAGGGCGGGTGGGAGTGAGCGAGACAGCTTACGGGCGGGCAGGGTGTCTTGATCGCTGTTCCCACACCCTCCCCGGATGGCGGCGGGTCGCTGGAGCGTCCAAGATGGCCTTGGCAAGAAGGCCAAATCCTTGATTTTGCAAAAATGTGTTGGGCAAATGTTGGTTTCCGGGCCCTGGTTGAAGATCCCCCCTTCTGATCGATCACCTCCAACATGGCCCCAAGAGGCCCCCGAGGCTCCCGAGAGTGCCCCAAGAGAGCCCCAAGAGGCGCCCCCAAGGTGCACCCAAGAGGCTCGACAGACAACCCAATTGGGCCCCAAGATTAGGGGGCCGCATGCGAACCCTACCCCTACCCCCCACGGTTTCTGAGGGGGAGGGTGGGGTTCACTTCGTCCCGAGCGAAGTGAACCCCACCCTCCCCCTCAGAAATCGTTGGGGGTAGGGGTAGGGGTAGGGTTCGCATGCGGCCCCCTAAAGATGCCACCCCGATGCACCCACGACGCTCCGCGAGGCCCCCGGGGCCGCCAAGAGGCTCCCGAGGCGCCCCCGCAGGCCCACGAGGAGATCGCGAGAGACATCCGTAGAGACCCCGAGAAGCCCCCGAGAGGCCCGAACCTTCCGGTTCGCCCTCCTCCTCCTCCTCTTCCGCAGTCGCCCACATCCTCCTCCTCCCTTCCTCCTTCTCACACCTCTCCCCTCCTCCTCCTCCTCCTCCTCCTCCTCCTCCTCCTCCTCCTCCTCCTCCTCCTCCTCCTCCTCCTCCTCCTCCTCCTCCTCCTCCTCCTCCATCCCTCCTCCGGTTCATCCTCTATCCTTCCCCTCTTGGGGCATGACGGTATGACGGCCTCCCAGCCTTTAGTGCACTGCGTGCCTCCCCACATACCTGATCAGGGCAACTCGCCTGGGCATCGTTTCTGGATGGGCTGGTGGCGACGCGGCTACGCGAAGCGTCTAGAATAGAGCCTACGAGCCTACTCCCTCCTCATCTCCGTCTTCTTCCGTCGCCTCAGCCTCCTCCGTTTCCTGTCCTTCTCCCCCTCCATCTCCATCACTTTCCCTCTCCTTCCGGTGGCGAGCGAGGGGGGAAATGAGAAGGAGAAGGCCTTCTCAAAGGCTCGGAAGTTCCTGGGCCTTCTGAGACGTTTTCTAAGCCTTCCCCGAAGACGCAGAACGCCTCTCAGAAAGCGCAAGGGCTTCTTAGAAGTCCCGCCGCCTTCTGAGAAGGCCTTCTCCTTCTCATTCCCCCCCCCCGCTCGCCGCCGATTGTCCCCATCCATCTCCATCCCTTCCCCCCGTTTTCTCGACCTCTCTATTCGCCCCCCCCGTCCTTCCAACTTCGCCCTCCAATCCGCCCCAAGAGTCTGCCCCACATCCAGGAGTGCGCTCTGGCCAGAATGCGGCGCGGGTCCAACCAGAAACCTGGAACCAGAAATCGCGAGACCGACGCACCACGGATACTGTGTAATTGTAGCCTGGATTTTCATGAACACGTAGCCATACTGCGCGACAGAATGCCGCACGACGCCATACTAGTCGACTGAATGCCACGCCCTGGGGACGTGACGCGCACAGAGATCACACACCCTCTGGTGGCGAGGGCATGCCGCACCTGCCGTCCTTTTGGGTGACTTCGCAGGTGGGGCGGACGTGTCCGCCGCCCCACTGCTCAAGCTCCTGTGACAACGATGCCCGTCCTCCCGTTCCGTCGCTCTTTCCGTCTCCGCCACGCACTTGCGGAAAAAGGTCCGCCCCCTGCTTCTCCAAAGGCGGAATTGTCCGCCCTACGTTTTGGCGTCGTTTGGGGGTGCCTTCCCGGCACACGTTCAAATGGGCGACGAAACAAAAAAACGGGCCTTACGCGCGTTGACACAGTGACCTCACGCGGTGGCGTACGCGGGCAGCCAGCGCCGCACGCCACAGTGGAAACGAGAGCACCCACGCGCGACCTTACGCGGGACGCTCACGCGCCAATGCTGGTGAAGGCGACCGTTTCCCTGCGTCGTTCAGATCGGAGATTACGCCCAAACGTTACAGATCCGAAGCCACGCCCCCTCCCCTGGTTTTCGGGGATTGCCCGAGGCGCCCCTGGCCCAAGCTGACCCCAGCTCCTAGCTCCTCCCAGGGGCCCCGATAGGGCCCTCGGGGTCCCGTGAGCGGTTCTCTGGAGGCCATGGGGGCCTCCCGGGGAAATCCTGAGGGCACCTTGGGACCGGGGGCACTTCTGGCAGCTAAGACCTAGGCAAAATCGAGAGAAACTCGGACCGGCCGGTACACGCCGGAAATCTCTCTGAAGAGCGGCGGATCTGGAGGATGTATCCGGCGCCGCGGTCGTTCCAGAGCCTTCCTGAACGCTCTGAAAGCAATTCTGCAACGCTCTGGGCCCAGACCGTCGATTTCGTCACTTTCACAACGCCAACCCCCGCCGGTCACGATCCCTTCCCCAGGACAGGCGTTTCATCCTGAATCGCTCTTTGGCGGTCCCGCGGTCCAGCAAGAGCCCCTGGAGGCCGAAAACAAGGCGAAACATTTCCTGGCCTGATTTTTGTTCACATCGCAAGGAGGTCTGGGGACCGATTCATCTCGATTCAAGGCCTGCTTGAACATGGACGGGCGAAGAGCGGTATAACATAAACTTGTTCGCTGTCGGGAACACTTTTCCCAGGTTATACCCCAGCTGTGGCACGTCGGGGTACAAGCTTCCCAGCCGCCCTGGGGCAAGCGTCACCGACGGCGAACAAGTTTATGATACCGCCCGCTCTTCGCCCGCTACAAGCAGCACCCCCCCTGGAGGCCCAATGGATGGGGTCGCAGCAACTGGGGTCGGAGGATCACGCCGCATCGCCGATGCATCGGCGACGTCGGCGGTGCATCAGCGACGCCGGCGCGGAAAGAACTGGGCTCCACGTCGAGCCGCATCGGCGATACATCGGCGATGTATCGGCGACGTGGCGCGATCCTCCGGCCACAGCTACTCCGAGCCCATCCAGGAAGCCCAGAGCCAGGTCGGGCGTGTCCTCCTACAGGCGGCTTCTTTGCAAGACACATTAAACATACATTGAACACAAAAGTGTCCCCTGCATGATCTGAAACGGCTAGAACAATCGTCGCTGTAGCATTTAAGGGTACTTTTGAATACAGTCAACCCGCGTAAGAAGGATGCCAGGGCATTGGAGGCCCATGTTGACGTTTCTCGAACAAGACTGACCAGCGAAAGTCGTTATGGATCGGCCGACAGGGCAAAGATGCAAGGGTACCCTTGGGAAGCTTGCCCATCCTTAATATGCGGGTTGACCGTATTCCTCCTGGGGAAAGCCTGCTTGATTTCGATTTTCAATACGAATACAAACTGTGAAAACATGGCCGGTCGATCCTTTAGGTCTGAGAAATGTTCAACTGGAGGTGTCAGAAAAGTTACCACGGGGACAACTGGCTTGTTGCAGCCCAGCGCTCAAAGCGACGTTGCTTTCTGATCCTTCGATGCCTGCTCTTCCTATCACTGAGACGCAGCAGCCCCAAAGTGTCGGATTGTTCAATGTAGGGGGCCAGGCCCGACTTCGGCCCCGAGTTCCGGCCCTCGCGGCGCGGCCTCTGGTGGCAGAGCCGAATCAGGGCGTCGGCGCAGGCCGCGTCGGCGAAGGCGACGCGAACGCGCGCGGGCGCCCGCGGGGCCTGCGGGCGCCCGCGCTCCGCCGCGGGGGGGGGGAGGAGGTGGAGGAGGCGGAGGAGGGGAAAGGGGGAGGAGGAGGAGGAGGAGGAGGATTAGATTATATTAGATTAGACAGCGCCTTGAGAAAGGTCGGACGGTGAACACACAAAGGACAGGCAAGGGTACTGGGTTATGCCATCGTTTGAGAATTGGCTTCTTTGGCCTTTACTCTGGCGAGTAGGGCTGCCATTCTCTGCTCATGCTGCGGGGCGGCGTCATTAGAGGAGAAACCTCTGGGGACGGACGAAACAGACTGCACCTCTTTGGGACTGGCGAGGGTCGCATCAAGTCGAGAAATGGGGGTGGCCTTATCTAAACGTTCCCGCAACCTTGGGTTAGGCCCTAATCCCCGACGGAACGCGCTCAACACCTCCAATCCCTTAGAAGTCGGTGCTTCACACGTCTTTGCGAGTTTGATCATCCTCCCCTGCGTCCAGCCTCCACAGTTGAGACATAAGAACTGTTGTTCCTTAACTTCAGTGCGTCCAGAACCCGTGATAGGCCCCGAGGAAGCACCATAAACAGTAGTAAGAGCCGTGCCCGACACAGCGACGAGAGCGTGGCCCTTGGGATCAGCGAGCAACTTCGAGATAGCAGACGGCGTGCCTTGACAACCATCGGCTGGGCGGTCAGACGAAGTACTAACCAATAGACAGTGAGCACACTGAATCCCGAGCTCTGTGCAACGCCACAGGTGCCAACTCCTCTTGACTCGTGACCGATGCTGGCTCATCGCAGCTACCCGACGCCACCTCATCTCATTGCGAAAGAGAGGGAGGGTCGCGATAGCCACCTTCGCAAAAAAACATTGCCCGCATTTCAGCCTCCTCAACTGACTGTGAGAAAGCGGGCGTTGGGGTAGGGTGACGAGCCAGGGCCAGCTTCGCGCGGTTACCAACCATCTTGTTGGCCTGGCCAAAACGATACTCAACGCCTTCGAGCTGATTCAAATATTTATCCGAACGGTGGGTGTTAACATGGAAAGCCTCCAAAAACTTCAAACCATCTAGCTCAGAAGCAAATTTCCGAATTCCAGAAAACTTATTCTGGGCCTCCAGCTGCCTCGAGACAGGTCTCTGGATGTGCTGAATGACACCGGGACAACCTAGACCGAGCTTGGTAGGACGGTTGGCAATCTGACCGCGCAACGCAGCAGCAACATGCTCCGATGCAGCGGGGCTCTGGGGGGGGGGAGTCTGGCGCAACACCTCGAAGCGCTGCCTGCATGTCCACCGAGCTCGGCGAAAGGATTGCAATGGACCAAGCCGCGCGTCAGAGCGGCCTGAGCAGCTGCCTGGCGGCCGAGCCATCGGCCACAGTCTCCATCGGCTGTCCTGGCGGAACGAGGGCAGCCAATTCCTCGGGTTGACGGTCGAGCTCACTCCCCTGCCCGTCGAAAATCTCACACGTAAAGCTGAGAGAAGGAGGGGCAAGCTCAGAATCTTCATGCACAAAGATCCCTCGAGTACGCAGACAACCATCACTCTGACGGGCCACCTGCAGTGACTCAATCGGGATATCCTCACAAGCCAATTCACGAGCAGCCTGCGCGTCAGGCCGCATGCAAGTGTATATGCGATGATGCGGGGTATCTATCTGACCACACTCACAACGACCACAACTGAGATGCCCCACATCATTGGCCCTCTGCTGTCAAATTGGCGTCACAGGCAGCACACTTGAGTAAAAGACGGCTGATGCCGAGTGAAACTTTTAACGCGAGGAACCATCTTGTCCCCGAGCAGGTCCAAGAGTGGCCCGATACCCGCGAGGAAGACCAAGTTTTCGGCCCAAGGCCAACTCCGCCTGCCTCTGGAGGCCAGCTTCCAACAACTCCTGCAGCATACGTGGAGAGATTAAACGGATATCGACGCGATTCTGATGGTGATCTATCCAAGAACAAGCCTCTGGAGCCGACCATCCTGCCCTCCTCAGGCACAAGGCTACTCTGCTGAGCGGGCCTCGACTACTTTTCCAGTCAACGACGCTGCTCGCATTGGCCTGGCCCCACAAGGATGCACTCCATTGCAAGACAGGGCCCAAAGCAGCACGGACATCCCATTCTCCAAAGAGGACTAACTTGGCACTTGCGGATGCGCCCCCGTGCATGGGCGCCAGTCGCCTCGCCTGGGTTCTGCGTGCTGCCGCCAGATCAGCGCCCGAAAACCCCAGGACCTCAGAGCTGTACGGCGACGCGGGAGCCAGGCCAGTACGCAGGACTCCATTGGAGGACTTGTTTGGGTTTGCGCATAATTATGCTGCTGAATTTACCAATCTTCTTGGCACGCTTGCTTATAGCCCTCAACCTGCTCCTAAGTATGGGTCTTGTGCCCTTCGCAGCTCGAGGGGCACCAGCTGGTTAATCGACTCCTAAGTAGGCGACTGCCTTCTTAACTGCTTTGCATTGCATCTGGAAGCCTGCGGCTACATCTTTGGCTAGATCCACAGACGACGCAACTACAACAATCTTATCATTCAACGTTGCACCTCGATTCCGACTGGCAATCTGGAAATCTTTTCCCGCCACCACCGCTAGATCAAGAGCTCTCTGTCTGTCCGAAGCAGAGATCTGGATTCCTGCATCGCCCATGCACGACATAAAACTGACAAGCGGGGGCTGTTGCGAAACAAACCAGTCATACTCGCGAACTGCATGTACCTGGCGCAACAATCATTGAAGCGATCACCTGCTGGGAGGCCAAGCTGTGCCTGCATGCAATCAACCGAGTGATGTTGGCGAAGTCTCCATATTCCCGGAGCTTGCCATACACTACATATTAGCGTTAGCAGCGGCGACGGATCCCGAAACGCTCTGCACTTGTCACGCAAACGCGCGAGATCTATCGTCTCATAGTATTTGCTGCAGTCTGCGACTACTAGCACTGAAAAGCGATGGTTGACAGCGCCAGCTTCACTCCTGGCCGCAAGCGCCCAAGCACAATCCACAAAACCCCCCCCCCCCGAGTGCCCCCCCTGCACCCACGGTCCACCGCGCCCATCACTCCACTTAACATGGCGCGGCGGAGTCTCTCCCAAAAGCCGCGGATCCAGGAGGAAAGGACTAGAAGCCTATATCCACTTGAAGTCGTTGGCAGCATCTGCATTAAAACCCAAAGCAAGTGTCGTGGCAAGAGGCCCAGTGCTTCACAACGCTGCCACAACTTTGCAAGGACACTGGGACCACTGTCATCTAACAACTGGGAGTGACGGGGGCGCAGTTGATCGAGAGATCTTGCCGTGCCGTCAGGAAAGGAACGAACGCAACGCTCGCGACAGGAAACGACTCTCTGTCAGGGATCCAAGCCTGTGGCGGAATCGCTCCAGCTTTCCAGGGCATCTTCTAAACTCGAGCCTCATGCTGAGCTACACTATGGGGGCCAGCGGCGGGGCCTAAAGGATCATGAGCAACAGTGAAGGGGGGGGGGGGGGGACCTTTGTGATGCGATGTGGGCCCCTGGCCCCCCCAACGCTAGCTGTCTCACACCAGTCATTCCAACGACGTCAGCTTCTCGATTGGCAGCCTTCTGGGAGGACTCGACATCGTCAGAAATCTGTTGCAAGAACACGAGCACAGCATTTGAAGCCAACTGCTCGTCAAACAATTTACGCGCCTGCTTACATGAGTTATCCAACCTAGCGCTGAGACCGAAACCTGGATAGTCATCAGCAAGAAAAGTGGCAACTTCATTAGCATGCAAAACTTGCTGTTCCGCGTCCTCATCATGCCTGGGCATCTGAAGAGGGATCTGCACAGCGTTGCGCAACCGAGCCCAACCTTCGGCTAGTTGCACCTTCTCCGAAACGTTGGGGACAGGATAGTCAACACTAACCCACCTCGGGGCAACATCTCTACCAAATCCTACAAGGTTCGTAGAATCTGTGTCAGTGCATTCTGCTACGTAGCTGGCAGCTCCCTTAGCAAAGTGGCCTCAGGCAGTGCTTAAAACTCCGAACGCAACCCCAGGACCAGCCTGCTCGTCATGAGCCAACTCCGAACAACGACCGACGAGATCCCCGGCGAACGACCAGTCAGGGGGAGCAAGATGAGGTCCCATTGGGGCGGTGACTGGGAGCTTAGGAGCGGCCGTGTAAACCAAATGCTGGAAACCATGGCCATTACTCGCTAGCTCTAATATGACAGGCCTGCGCGGACGAACCGTCCACTGCTTATCAACTCTGACTGCTTTAAATGCTCGCATGCGCTGATCACCCAGCCCGCAAAAATCAATGGCAGAGGATCCCGTCCCACCACGACACGTATAGCTCGTTGGTGAGACAAGTGTAGCGCACGCAAGCGCACCGAAGCCACTAGCTTCAAGGGCGCTGGGAGTCATGTTCCAATCCCCTCCCACTAAGCACGGCCCCTCCACCCCGCTGAAACGCGTGCCAACTGCCGCCAAATACTTGGCGTTCAGACTCGTGGCACCAAGGCTGGGAACATGGTAGAGGTTGATGGCATGCACAGGCGGCCATCCTGGTAGATCCAGCACCACATGTAGTACACCATGTTGCACCAATTGCTCGCGTAATCCATAAAGGATACGCACTCCACACTGGCTGCGAACGAATGCGGCAACACCTGCTGTGGGCAATACTCCAGCCGAAAGAAGTGCTGGCAGTGCCACCATCTGCCAGCCACGCCCATTGATCCAGGGCTGTAGCGATTCCATTTCACTCTCCAGATAGCCCGTCTCCTGCACCATGACAACCATAGCTTTGGATCTCTGCAATCGCTTCTTTAGTGTGCGCTTACCACCATTTGCATTGAAGATCTCCAACGTATGTGATGGTGCCGTCCCAGTTTACGGCGGGATTGGCGAAATCGCCCTCGGTCGCAGACCGGTAACACATGGTGCATGAAACCTGCTACCCACAACGCTGCCTCCTGACCTGCATCTCACCGATCTTGGCCTGGAAATCCTCAAACCTGCCAGCTTGCCAGCGCTTGCAAACTGGTCTCATCCAATTCATCATATGAACGCTTCTCATTCTCGGCGCTGGAAGTTGTCTGGGGCATGTCGGTATCACCACTACCCACTCCAGCTGCTGCACCATGTGAACCTGCGGCATCCTGGCTCGCGGCATCGCCGCGCCCGCCAACGCCGCCACTGTACACAACACGAATATTCTTGTGGATCTCCACCCAGTCAGCACTGTTGAGGAAGGCCTGGACTCCTCCGTACTTGGCGTACATCTCCTCGGCATTGGCGATCTCAATCTTGACACCTGCAGGCGCAGGGTCATGACATGCACCAGACTCGGAGGCCAGCAGCGCAGAGGTACGAGCAAATTCAGCAACCAACTCTGCAACTTCAACACGCTTGGCCTCGAGCTTGGACTTGCGCTCCTCAACCAACGTTTGCAACTCATCGACCTGCTTCTGCTTTTCTTCCAACTCATTGGTCTGGCGAGCCACTGCTTGACGTGCACGCTGCAACTCATTAGTGGCCCTCCGATGCGCCGTAGTCGGATTACGTAGTCCTTTGATACTCTCACGTATGCCATCAAGCTTCGTCTTGATCGAACCGCGTAGCTCATCAAAATCGGCACCCTCAGGCAGCTTCCTGAACGATTCTTCCAACTCATTTGCTTGCACAACCAACCGGCCACGTTTAGCATCATCAGAACCTGGGTCAACTCCTTGTGCATCGGCTGCATCTTTTTGGTCGCGGCTAGCTTGATCCTTGTACCATGGGGCGCGCTTCGGCTTGCTCTCGGACTTAGCAGGCGATGCGCCCTGCCCCAGTACTTTGACCAACTCATCCAGCTACGCCTGCAAGCGTAGGATACTGGCAGCACCTTGTCCTTCCCCTTTCCCGCCGCCAACTCCCGAATCTGGCTTGGCAGCAGGTTGCTTCTTGTGCGCCTCCAGTGCTCGACTGCGGATGTAGGCTGGCGCCGCATTGCCGCAGCGGCACCGTATGCGGCTGGCCCAGTTGTGTGCGGCTCCACACCGCCCACAAGCCCACTCAGGACGATGAGGACCCAGTAGTACATCATCGACATTGGCCATGGAATGCTCCCGCAGGAGCGAAGGAAGCCAGCAGCGGGCTGCTTGCTGGCACAGACTCGAGAAAACTGGCTCGCGAACGCGTCGCCGCGCTGAGTACTCGCGTTCGCAACCCCCTGAAACTCTCGAGAGGGCAGCGCGGCTGGAGGAGGAGGAGGAGGAGGAGGAGGAGGAGGAGGAGGAGGACGAGGAGGAGGAGGACGAGGAGGAGGAGGAGGAGGAGAGGAGGAGGAGGAGGAGGAGGAGGAGGAGGGGGATAGACGAGGGATAGCGAAAGGAGGAGGAGGAGGAGGAGGAGGAGGAGGAGGAGGAGGAGGATAGGAGGAGGACGAGGAGGACGAGGAGGAGGAGGAGGAGGAGGAGGAGGAGGAGGAGGAGGAGGAGGAGGGGAGGGGGCGGGCGGTGCAGAGGGCGCCGCGCGCCGTGGGCCACTCGGCATCGAATCGGATCGGACCGAGGTCGTTTGCAGCTCCCAGCGCACTTGAGAACCATATCCCGGAAAGAATGTCGAACACCCAGATCCAGGGGAGGGTATTTTTCGACACCCCTCACGAGGATCGTGGCCTCCGAGGGGGGAGCCGCAATCGACTACCCCCAAGAGCCCCCCAAGAGGCCCTGGGGGCCTCCAAAACGCCGCCAAGGAGCCCCAAGAGACTCCCAAGAGGTCCCCAAGAGGCCCCCAAGAGGCCCTAAAGAGGGCTCCAGGGCCGGCGGCATGAGCGAAGCGATTAAATAATGTCGAACTCCAAGAAAAGTATCGAAACAGTGTCGAACGAGTATCGCCTCCCACATCCCGACACGTGAAAACCTTTCCAGTTTCGGTGTCACTGATCTTCCTGAGGTTTTTGATTCATTTTCGTATGTGCTCTTGTTCTGACTTCCGACGGCCCAAGACGACCCAAGAGGCCCCCAAGATCGCCCCCAGAGCGCCCAAGAGGCCTCCAAAACGGCCTCAGGACCGCCCACGAGGCCCCCAAGACGGCCCAAGAGGCCTCGAACACGCCCCAGAAAACCTCCAAGACGGCCCTGAAACACCCCAAGAGGACCTCAAATCGGCCCAGAGAGCCCCCCAAGACGGCTTCTGACGGCGTCAGCGCTTTTGACGGCGTCAGCGGGGCCAGGAGCCCACCAAGACAGCCGAAGATGGCCCTAAGATGGCCCAAGAGGCCCCCAAGAGGGAGCGCCGGGGAGGGGAGGGGGAGGAGGAGAAGGAGGAGGAGGAGGATGAGGAGAAGAAGCAGGATGAGAAGGAGGAGGAGGACACAACGCTAGAAGCTGGATACTTTGAGTCCGACAAACGCCTGGCGGCGCGCACACGGGGGCAGGAGAAGGGGAGAAGGCTTTCAGAAGGCGCCGGCCCTGCATTGATAAACAAGACCCGAGCCTTCTAAGAAGCAGAACTGCTTCTGAGAAGCCCTCCCCACTCCCCCCGCCCTCCTCTTCCCGTGGCGGAAACGTGTACACAAGGCGGAGGACGAGGGCGAGGAGAAGGATCCACGTCGAAGTTCCCTCGAAATCGCATCCCTTTATCTTCTTCGCAGAGGCTTTGATATCTGAGGGACGAGGTGCAAGATAGCCGGATTCCCTCCTTCACCTCCGCCTCTTCCTCCTCAGCCTCTTCCTCCTCCGCCTGCCCCTCCTCCTCCTCCTCCTCCTCCTCCTCCTCCTCCTCCTCCTCCTCCTCCTCCTCCTCCTCCAGCCGCCACCCTGGCGCGAGACCCACCAGGGGCGGCCAGCGCGCGGCGGCCATGTGACTGTCCAGCTAGTTGCCGGGTGGTGCGACAAGATTCTCCAGTGCCTGCCGAGCAGGTGCACGCCGCTGGTGTACGTGGACCTGAACGATGGACAGGGGATCAGCCGTATTGCTGGGCAGTGGCATCAGATGGAGTCTTCCTCGTTGGGTCCTGGGCGTGCTCGGGAACAGAGGCGTGGCGGAGCTGGAGAGTTGTTTCGATTAGCGAATGAACGCCACCACATGTTTACGGTGAATTCGAGAGGCGCAGAGTTGGAGCACACTTTTTACGGTTCGACTGGAGGGAGCAATTGTATTGACTATTTCTTCGTACCCGATGGCATGATCGACATGGTCCACCGTTTCTCTCCATTGCGTGGGCTGGCTGCCGAACTCCAAGCGTTTCGGGGGGGCCCGCCGAAAGACCACATCCCTGTATACATGGAGCTGCATGGCTTGAGATTATCAGAGGATAGAGAGTCACCTTCACTTCATCGCATGTACTGGAATCAGGACGACAAGATGAGATGCTTGCGAAAAGGCGACAGACGAGCTGAATTCCTGGAGGCGGTCGAGGCCAGCCTGTCAGATAGTGAGGACACTTGGAGAGTTCTGCTGCAACACGGACGGCCTGATGAGTTGTTCAAGCACCTGGATGACACAATGGTCAGTGCGGGGCAGCAGTTCTTCAGCCACACCGTGTCCAACGACCCGACGTACAGGCAGGAGGCCATGGAACGTACTGCACTTCTACGTGAAACGGCTCGTCTTCGTCGTTCGCGTCTTGGCATGATCGACGATTCCATAGAGTTGCAGGAATGTGAAGTACGCTTGAGAGATCCCAGTCAATCGCTCCGTAGGCAGCGACAAAAGTATCAAAGGGAAAGGCGGACCGCCCTTTTGGAGGAGATCGAGGAGGCGTGGCAAAATCGCCGCATGGCCGAGGCTATGCGTTTGTCCAGGAGAGCTGCCCGATGTCGGTTTGGGCCGAAACGACGGGACGGGCGACTTCTACGGGGAGGGCTTTTCTCAGAGGATACGCTCCTGGAACATTGGGCCCAGCTGGGCTGCGAGGGAGGAATGTCGGCACGCAAACTCGATTTCAACGCCTGGATGGAGACAGCTCCTGCAGGGGAAACGCCTTATGTCTCAGTGGAGGATTGCGAACTCGCCAGTCAGGACCAATGGAGGGTCATGAAATACTCTCGGCCTGCCAGCAAAAGGAGAGTGGTACCATCGGGGACCCCGCCAGCGGAGCTCTGGCTGATGTGCATGGACCCGTCGAACAACATAGACGCTACGCCCATGGGGGTAGGATACAATCGGGAAGTTCCAGAGATGAAGCTGTTTGGGAAGATTCTTGAGGGAGGATTTCGGAATATTCTGGCAACCAACAGGACACCGCTGAGATGGCACGTTAGCTCGGGGGCTCAGCTCAGGAAGAACGCGAAACCAGGCCCAATGGGCCGACGTACTGTGCACGTCCTCCCGACCCTGGGGAAAGCCTTTTACTCGGGCCTCCTTCGAGCTCCTCCCATGGTCGTCGAGCACGGATTATGTTCAGGCCGGCGGCGCGAGGGGGCCATTTTAGTTGTACAGCTGCTGTGCTGGCGCCTCCGACGCGCGGGCCATTCGTTTACTTGCACTTATAAGGACATGACGAACGCATTTGCTAGTGGGTCCTGGGAGGAATTACAACAAACAGTGGATATTCACGCCGAGCCGCACAATGTTGACTTGTGTATCCAACATTTTCGAAACAGTGTTATTTGGTTGGAGACGGTGGAGGGAGGATTATACATCAAGACGGGGGAGGGCGGCACGATGGGGGACCCCTTCATCGTCGAAATCTTTAGGGGCACCTTCTCACGACCTATCTTGCAATGGCTTCGAAGGCTGAGGGAATGTGATCCGTCAGCTGCAGGTCTTGTGGCCAGCTGGAAGGAATTAAAAGCAGACGTCGGGGGCTGCCTGTACGCCAACGATGTTTGCCGTGCCCACGTCGCCTCTCCCCATCATACGGTGGGACAGTTTTTTTCGGTTCTGAAGCAGGCTGATGAGGTGTTGTCGGAGGAGTTGGCTGAGATAGGTTACGCCCAGAACGCTTCCAAGCAGGAGGTTCAGCTTTGTGTTCAGGGCCCAGGGGCTTTACGGTGTAGACAGTGGGCACAAGGGCGGGGACGTGAGCAAATTTCAGGACAGTTGAAGGAGGATGTGCGCTACCTCGGGCCGAAAATCAACATGTTGCAGTCTGTGACGGTGGAGATCTGTCGACGGGTTCAGGCGACGGCCGAATCCTACTACTCTCTGGGGCAGATTTGGACCCTGGAAGTTCCGTTCCGCTGGAAGCGGACGCTGTTTCTCAGCTTCGTGCAGAATGCGGTGCTGACGGGATTAGAACCAATGCTGTTGACGCCTCGACATTATCGCGAACTCGACTCGTTGATGGCTCGGTACGGGAGGAGGGCGTTACAGGGGAAGGCGGTGACGACGATACGCAGCAGGGACGCCGACGACGTCAGCGTTCACCGACGAATTCGTTCGTGATCGAATCGGAGGGTGAGGCAGCATTGGCGTCTAGCTAGTGCGGAGACGGAGATGCTGGTGAGACGCTTGAGATGGTATCGCAACTTGGCCCTCTCCCCCACCAATCACGCCCAGGAACTGTCTTCTATTCGGGACCCTGGACCTGGACGAGGGGGGCAACCCGCTGGTTGGCCGCAGGGTTGTCCCGTCTAAAGCGCCTCCGTGGCTACTTCGAATGCAAGCTGATTTTCGACGTGCGTCGGAACTCCTTGACGAAGGAGGAGTTTGCGCACACCTTGCGCTTTACCCTGGCGATCTCGCCGATGAAGAGCATCGCGAGTTCTGGATCCGAGCGGACTTTACCGAAATAAGGTCTCGGGAGCTCTCGATGATGGTACCCCCCATGGGCCACCTGGAGGAGGAGGAGGAACAGCGGGCGGCGGAGTCTGAAGGAGAGGACGGACAAAGACATCAATGGAGTTGCGAGTGGGTCACGGAGGAGGGCGGTTTATGTGCACAACGTTTCCAGACTAGAAGGGATCTCATGAATCACATGCGTCGTAGGCACAACGTTCACAACCTATGCTCTACGGTGACTCCTACAAATACATGTATTGTATGCCGACGGACTTTCGCCAGCCAATCAAACGCATAAAAGCACCTCCAGAGAGCCCTGCTGAGCGGATCATGCCCCACCCGTGGTTCGGCAACATTCTCGGAGGTCCAGATCCCGTCGTCGTTGGGGTGTACGGTATGTGACTACATGGCGTCTGACTTGAATGACCTCTGCAGCCATTTGGCCACAAGCCATCTCCCAGTGGCAGTCGACCCTGCGCTGCACGAAGCTCACGGTCACGAGGAGGGCACCTTCCAGGGTGATGAGCGAGGAATGGGTCTCTTCCCAAGCCTACCTGGATGGCGGGCCTGTCATCCGCCCCCGCGGCCAAGAAGGTGCGCAGCAGCGCCCGCGACGAGGCCCGCAAGGTGGCAGGAGGAGCCAACGCATTGCAGAACCTGGTGCTCATCTTGGCCAAGCTCGTCCTCACCGACAGCCGCGCGATCGCGGAGCTCAGCAACACGGTGTACCGCACGTACGATATCAGCGCGGACACGAACTTCGCCGTCGAGAACGAGAACGCGGGCCAGCAGTACAACGATCAGTCGCAGGAGCTCAAGGCCAAGCAAAAGGCGGGAGAGCAGGTCGACTTCCAGAGCCGCGGGCCGCCGTACGTGTCCAGTTTCATGCAGGTGATGATGTGGGCCGCCAGCCTACAGGGGAACCCAGGAGAGGTGGATGGGGGAGATCAAGGAGTTCTGGGTGGAGAGGCTCTCGAAGATGACGATCGCAGAGGTCGGGTGCCTGGTGCTGCACTGGCAGTGGAAGCGCAACAAGGGGAAGCAGCAGCAGAACGAGCAGGCTCGGGGAAGGCTGATCTACGCGATCGACCAAGCCCACCCCCTGGGCATCACGACGGTGTCGATGATCGAGGGCCTGTTGAAGAGCTTTGGGGCAGAGAGGAAGATTGGCCCAGCCCGCTCGAGAGGGATGCGTCGAAACTGTTGGCAGAGCTCACCAAGGCGTAGGTAGTAGCAGCAGCAGCGGTAGTCAGGTAGCACAGCTTTCCTCGAATTCGTATGTGGGACGTTCCTCCACGAGCCCTCGTGATGTCAGAAGCGTCGAGAACTTGCGGGGTAGTTCGAGGTTGGCTGAGCTGATCAGGAGAGGAATCGTTCCTGAGAATGTTTTGGACCCACGTCCCCCCCAGTACCCACCGCCTATAGCCCAGGAGTTTCCACCACCCCGACGATTTTGAGGGAGGGGATGCATCCGAGGCAGAAAGGCACGGGGAAGGGTAAGAAGGGCAGAGGTCGGTAGTAACCCCAGGTCCCCAACGCGGGCCCCCCGTAGGTTGCGTGCTGTGAGGGGGTGCCTGCGGGGGCGGTGCGGCGTCCGTCGTGTGCCACGGGCCGCACTAGATGGTTTGGCGAACGTACTCGCCCCCCAGAGTTCCCCCCTGTAAAGGCTGGCAGGCTGTTGCATAGGGCGGCACGAGGCCACAGAGACGAACTCCTAAGGGCCCGATCCCGATCCTCCTAATCCTCCCTCGGCGGTGGACAAACCTCCCTTTAGTAAACCTCCCTTCAGTGAAAACGGCCTAGGACCCAAACCGACGGACCTGGAACCGCAAAAATGACGGCCGCGACGCCCTCTCGCGAACCGAAAACGGCTTATTCGCTAATCGACGTGTCAAGGTAGGAGGTCTATCAACCTCCGACTCCCCCCCTTTTCTACGGAGGAACCGGGGAGGAAAGGGGCTCTCCGTCTTCGTGGTCCTCGAACCATTCCCTGGGCCTCTGGTGCCCTGGCACCCCACCCGGACGACCTCTCGGCGCGGCGCAGCTGCTGAAGAGCATCCCGCGGCTGGGCCGGACAGCCGCCCAGAGAGCCCACGGAGACACCCGAACACCTTGGAGCCCCGGAGCCTGCCCTTCCCCCCCCGGCGCCCAGCTCCCCCCCCCCTCCGCCCTGACGCTGCCCCCGGGTCGGAGCAGGGCGAGGCGAGAGAGCTCGGGAGCGGCCAAGAGGGGGGTGTCCAAGAGGGGGGGGTGCAGACCATGGCCCATGGCCGGCGGCACGTGCGCGGCCCAGCGGGGGGGGGCCAGGGACGTAACGACATGAGCAGAGGCGCCATGAAACCTGGGGAAAGATCACGGCCCACGCCACGATGTCCACCCCCCCCCAGTCATCACCTCCCTCTTTTCCGCCCCCGAAGAGCGGCAGCCGAACATCAATGGGCCCCAGGACCCCCCTCTCCCAGGGTCCGAACGCCTATAAGCTTGCCGAGCTGCGTCCAGCCGTGGCATCGCGTAGGGCCCTCGGAACGTTCTCTTCTTCGGGGTCTCGACGCTGGGCGGAAGGAGGAGGAGGTGGAGGCAGGTCTGGCTCCCGACCTCTGCTTCACGCGACCGACTGTCTGCAACCCTGCGTGGTGTGGGGGGCTCCGCCTGCTCGAAGCGGGCGCCCAGAGCAGGCAAGCTCTACTCCAGGGTGGGGGCAAGGGGGGTGGATTCGAGGGCCCGCGCCGATCGGCAAAACAGGGACTGAGGCAACGACCACAGGGCCAACGCCAGGTCGGGCATGTCCCCCTGCAGGCGAAGTCTGGACGAAACCATAAAAAGGGTCCAAACATGCTCAAAGATGATATAAAACATACACGGAAAATCGTCCCCAGACTATTTTTGCTACTATTGTTGAATCTTTCCCCTGTGGAGGGACATGCCCGACTCAAGGCCAACGCCCGTTGTTGAAGGGGGCCTGGCACACCCAAACAAAAGGACTCCCCCTACTTCCCCACATGTTCTGATTTATATTGTCTTCCCCCCGCTTCACATACTTTCCCATGTTTTTTTCTGGGGGATCGACGACTCATTGTGTCTGTGTGTTGTTTCCCCTCCTGAGAATACTCATCCTGCAGAGGGACATGCCCGACTTCACGCTGGGCGGGGTCTGGCTCAGGGATGAAACGCATCGGCCTTGTACCGGCAGCACGTCACCGATGCATCGCCCACAGTGTCGGCGTGGAAAAAAAACTTGTGCCAGCGGCGGGTGGAGGGAGCCAAAATACGGCTACGCATCACAATTCACTGTCTCTGCCTCTCCCGAACCGCGTCGGGGTCGATAGCTTGGTTTGATCGAGCTCCGATGTGAATATGGCGATTCAATATTTCTGCTGGCGCAGGCGCGCACCGCAGTCGCGTCAGAGACGCCTCACGCACCTCGCAGCACGCCGTGAAGCCCGACAGCGACCCCGCAGAGTCCTGGGCGAAGGTCGATGCACCCCCCAGGCTTTTGTGTCTGCGTGTTTTTGTTCACTCCTGTTGAGCAGGGACCGACCGTCCCGGCATTCCTACAGTCCTACCACGAAATGTTCTTCGAACCCCAAAATGTTCTAAGAACAAAAAGCAGTATCCCTAGAACAGAAGCCCGATGTGTCAAACCAGGACAGGCCCCGCCAGAAATGTCCCGAGAACAGTTCGTGGGAACCACAAGGAGGGTCCTCAGAACCTTGTCTGCTAGGGCTATATCGGGAGCAGCCAAGAGGGGGGTGTCCAAGAGGGGGGGTGCAAAGCATGGCCGGCGGCATGTGCGCGGCCCAGCGGGGGGGGGGCCAGGGACGCATCGAAACAAGAAGAGGCGCCATGAGATCTGGGGAAAGATCATGGCCCCCGCCACGATAATATCCACCCCCCTAGTCATCACCCCCCTCTTTTCCGCCCCCGACTATAGGCGAGCCCCCAACCCGAATTTCGGGTTTGGGGGGGGGGTAAGGGTTCCACACGTGTGATTTCTATGTGTCCCGACCCCCCCCCCACTGGAAATCGAGGGTAAATCTGAGCCTTCGGGTTGGGTTGGGGTGGTTTGGTGGGTGGTGACTTGTCTGGTAGGGCAGGAGGCGAGCCGGGACGCTTCGCCCCTGCTCGGAGGCCCCGCGCCGTCTGCGCCCCGCAGCCGGCGGCAGACGGCAGACGGCACGCCGGGCGCCCGGCGGGGGGCGGGCCTCCGCGGCGGGCGGGAGCACGCGCGCGGCGAGCACGGGCCCGAACTGCGCCTGCGGGCCGGCCCCTCCCCGCCGCCGCGCGGCGCTCGGGGCGCCGGGGCGGCCCCGCCCCCTCCCCGCGGGGGCCCTTAAGACCCCCTCGGGTGGAAGTCGGACGAAGAATCACAAATATTCCAAAAAATGCCCCGAACTGGTCAAGGAGAGTCAAAAGGTCGTCCCCGGGGGCCCAAGACCCCCTCGGGTGAGGTCGGGCGTGTCCCCCTGCAGGAGGGACTCTCTATGAAATAACAAAAGAGCAAAAAATACCCCAAGAGGGTCAAGAATAGTCAAGAAACCGTTCCCTCCCGGGGGTCCAGAGCCCCTCGGGTCAAGTCGGGCGTGTCCCCCTACAGGGAGATATTTATTGGACGAAGAATAACAAAGAGTCAAACAATGCCCCAAAAGGGACAAGAATAGCCAGAAAATCGTCCCCAGGCTATTGTTTGACTATCTTTGGAGATTCCTGCTGTGGAGGGGCAAGCCCGACTTAACCCTCGGGCAATGAAACCATCATGACGGAAGATTGTTCCTCGTTTGCGGCCTCCGAGGGGCCCTTCCCTGGCATCGGGGCCGTCAACAAAACGACTCAGGGTGAGGAAACGGTCCCGGGGAAGGGGTCGAGATCCCTGGGGGTCGACGCCCTACGGCAAATTCGCGTCGTGTCGACCCCGGCGATGGTTCCTACAGGATGCCCCTTGAACGATCGGGCCGTTCCGGGAACAACAGACCGTTCAACGGCAGCGGGCCGATTCTGGGCCCCGGGCGGCGTTCAGCCTTACACGCACGCGCTGGGGTCGCCGCAGGTGGGCCCGCCGCGAACCTGCCGTACCCTTAAGTCGGGCGTGTCCTCCTACAGGGGGATTTTCGACGAAAAAAATAAATACCCCCAAATTACCCCAAGAATGTCAAAAAATACACCAAAAAAAAAGTGCCCAGACTATTTTTGCATTATTTTTTGACTATTCTTGGGTATTTTTTATTTTTCGTCGAAAGTCCCCCTCTAGGGGGACAAGCACAACTTAACCGTACCCCCCCCCCACCCCTCAACGATTTCCAAAGGGGTGTGGAGGGTTCACCCCCGCCGCGCGGCGCCAGGGCGCCGGGGCGCGGGGCGAACGAGCCCCTCCCCGGGGGCCCAGGACCCCCTCGGGTTCAGTCGGGTGTCCCCCTATCCAGTGGGGATTGTGGACGAGAAATAGAAAAGAGTAAAAACAAATACCCCCAAAGCGGTCGAGAACAGTCGAAACATCGTCCGAAGACTATTTTGTTGACTCTTTCTGGATAATCCTGCTGTAGAGGGACAGGCCCGACGTAAGCCTCGGGCAATGAACACATCATGACGGAAGGTCGTTCCTCGTTTGCGGCCTCCGGGAGGCGGTTCCCGAGCGAACTGAGCAGGGACCGACCGTCCTGGCATTCCTATAGCCCTACCACGAAATGTTCTTAGAACCCAAAAATGTTCCAAGTACTAAAAAACAATGTTCTCAGAACATGAGCCCGATGTGTTAAAACAAGACAGGCTCCGCCAAAAATGATCTGAGAACAGGCCGCGGAAACCACGAAAGGCTCCTAGAATATTGCTTGGTGGGGCTATAGGCGAGCCGGGACGCTCCGCCACTGCTTGAGCGAAGTGAAGCCTCGAGATCGTGGGGGGCGGGCGGCACGAGACATGATGTTTATGCAGATTTTGTTCCTTGAGAGTGGTGGGGGGGGGAAGGAGGAGGAGGAGGAGGAGGATTTTTTTGACATCAACATCAAGGGAGAGTGCCTGCCCAGACAATTAGGGCAGGCCAGCTGGCCAAGCCAGCAAAAACTAACACCTGAAAAGCGAGGAAAAGCAGCGGGCCACAGGGACATCTCCAGCTAGCTGGAGGATTCCCCGTGGCCCGCTGCTTCTCCCCCAGGCGTTAGTCCGAACTAGAGTCGCCCTCATCGCGGTGAGCGAGCACCGAGACAAACGACGCCTCTCTGGCCCCATTCCGAGATGGGGCCGGTGCACAGGGCAAATCAAGAAGGGGGGGGGGGGGAGGAGGAGAAGGAGGGCCCTGAAAAAGAAAACGAGAGGCTTCATAGTCAGCCTCCCAATCCTGCAGCAAAGCAGGCTCAGACACAGTCGCTCCCCCCCCCGCTCCCCGCTCCACCCCGTCCCCACGGTCCTCGGCGGCGGTGGCGGGGCGCGGAGAGCCGTGCTCCTGCGCCGCGGCGGCACCTGTCGCGCCGACCTGATGGCCTCCTCCCTTCTGCGCCCACGGCCCTCTCTCGACCGAGACTCCTGGACGCTTTGGATGGAGGCCTTTACAGATCGGGTGCCAACTGTTGTACTTCTTAGATCTGGTCGGGCCAATGCAAACAACCGCAAGGCCCGAAGCCCGACCATGAGAAGAGTACGAATAACATTTGGTGCAGATCACCAAGGAAGAATTGTCTGAGCAGGCTAGCGTCAAGCACCGATGTCCCCGCGCCTCCAAAACCTGCGCCTCCAGCCCACGAGCGGGAGTGCATTTAGAGGGGGGAGGCGGGGGACCGTGGGTAGACAGACGGCTGACTTTCGCACAAACCGAACACTTCCAAAAGCCCGAGACGGACCCAAGCTCAACAATCTGGATGGGCTGCCACTCGCAACGCACAGAAGAAACCACCTGGGGGGGGTCCTTTGGCGGCTGAATCCACACGACGTCTTGGAGGTCTAATTTGGGCCACAACGGCATCAACTTTGCAGACAGCGACGCCACGGCCCTAGAAAACTTAATGTCGAGATCGAGCCTACACCTGTCATCCTCCGACGGCTGTGGGTGCCCAAGGTACCCCTCCCCCGCAGAAGCACTTTTAGCTCCTACGTCGGCATGGTGGTTTCCAAAACGGCACATCTTATCATGATTATCTGTCCACTCATCCAAAGAAAGATGAGCTTTCACTTTGTTCAAAGAGCGGACCTTCCAGAAATCAGAGAGGAGGGAGAGGGAGAACCCACTATAACAGCGCTTAGGGGACAGCTGGTCAATCTGAGGGCGACCGAAGTGGTCTTTGACCAGCTGAGCATCAGTATAAAAATCCGAAGGTCCTCCTGAGAAACGTATTGCTTGGCAAATCGCAGCGAACTCTCCAGCAGGGGCAGTCTGGGGGTAGCACGGGGGGACAGGACCGTAGAGCTTCCCCAAGAGGTCCCCCTGGTCGTCCACCGCCACAAAACACCAGCCTGCCCTGCTGAGCTCGCGAACTACATGTTTACACGCGCTACCGTCAGTGAAAATGTTGTTCGTGAACGGAAATAGGAGGAGGAGGAGGAGGAGGAGGAGGAGGAGGAGGAGGAGGAGGAGGAGGACGAGGAGGAGGAGGAGGAGGAGGAGGAGGAGGAGGAGGAGGAGAAGGCGGACGGCTCCCAGCGTGCTCCCCTGCCGGCGGCAGGGCCCTTGTCGAGGCGGTCCCCCGGCGCTGGTCTCCGACGCCGCGCGCGTCGCGTCGGCCTCGGGCCGCTCGGCCTCGAACGATCGGCGGCGCTGCCGCCGCCGGATCGCTCCACGTCGCCCGCTTCTGGGCCGCTGGTGGCGCTCAGTCGGGGGGGCGCAAAAGGTGGGGTATAGGGGCCAAGGGCGGGGCTGGAAGGAGAACCACTCCGAACGGCCCCCGGAAGGAGGGCACGCGTCATAACGGGAGCATCCAGCTGAGCCCGTACCTCGGCCCCACCCTTGGGAGAACCCTCCCTGAACGCGAGCCTGCCGTGCGCCCCCGGTCCTGCTCCAGTCTGGCGGACGACGGAGCGCACGAGGGCTGAGTACGGGCCGCGCGCGCGGGGGGTCCAGAAGGATGGAGATGGGAAGGAGGAGGGGGAGGAGGAGCGGAGGAGGAGGAGGCGGAGGAGGAGAAGGAGGAGGAGGCGGATAGGAGGAGGATAGGAGGAGGAGGAGGAGGAGGAGGAGGAGGAGAATGGGAATGGGAATGTCAGTTCACTAAGTGAAAAGTGGGCCTTACACCTGGGGGGAGGACCGACCTGACCTCGAACGGGTGGCCTGCTCAGCCTTGCTGAGGACCTTGGGCCATAAACCACGGTCAATTCGGTTCAAATACTCGACCCCTGTAGGTGTGGCACGGCCACGACATTGCTTATGAAGCTCACTGGCTCTCTTACTGGAGAAGGAGCCGCACACCTTACAAAACCACAACTTCAGAACGGGACATAAAATCATAGTGTGACTGTTGTGGACCCAGCCCCCCGCTAAATGAAGTATAAAACCAGCAGGTTTAGTTAAATACTTACCATTCAGAAACACAGGGGAACTGCATGGCTCCTCCTCCTCCTCCTCCTCCTCCTCCTCCTCCTCCTCCTCCTCCTCCTATCCTCCTCCTCCTCCTCCTCCTCCCCCTCCTAGCTCCTCCTAGCTCCTCCTTCCGCTCCTCCTCCTCCTCCTTCTCCCCCTCCTCCTCCTCCCCTCCTCCTCCTCCTCCTCCTCCTCCCTCCTCCTCCTCCTCCTCCTCTTCCTCCTATCCTCCTCCTCCTCCTCCTCCTCCTCCTCCTCCTCCTCCTTCTCCTCTTCCTCCTCCTCATGACTGGACCCAAGCGGTGTTTGTAGTTCTCGTGTCGTTTTCGTTGTCCCTTGTTTTTCGTCTTCGGTCCGCCCTTGCCGCAGAGCGAGGTCGAGACGACAACGGGCCACCAAGTCGCCAGAACACCATTTAGGTCCAGCCGTCGGGGAGTGCCGCCAATGCACAGACCAGGGCTGGACCCAAACGGTGCTTGTCGTTCTCGTTTTGTTTTCTGGAGGCCTGGACATGGGCACCAGCACCAGCACAGGGGAGGGGGCTGCCTCGACAGGGTGAAGAAGATCCTAGATTTCGGAATTGGTGGTAATGTTTCGGCCACCCTGGAAGCCAGAGCATGACCACCGTCACCGAGATCAGGGTCTGGTTCCCTCGGTGGAGGCACACCGCCGATATTGGTGTTAGTGTTAACCTCGAGGCCTGCGATTTCGTTTTCCCACGTTTTGTCTTCGGTCCGCCCTTGCCGCAAAGCGAAGTCGAGACGAAAGCGGCCCACGATATCGCCAAAACACCGTTAAGCCGTTAAGGTCCAGCCTTGGCATAAAAGAAGAAGGCGAAGAGAAGAGAAACACGCCAGAAACAGAAACTTCTGACGCTCCGCGCGGATTTCTCGGATTCGCGCCGAAACCCCCTCCCTGGCGCGCGGAGCGCGCCAGGGGCGGCGCCGGAGGCGCCGCCGGGGGGGGCCCAGCTCGGATTCAAGAAAGCCACGCGGAGCGCCAAAGGTTTATGTGTATGGCGCCTTGTCTTCTTCGGGATCAAGGTACAGCGGCCCTGGAAGGCCCTGCCGGCACTCTTCGAGCGGGGCGCGGCCCGCGAAAGCGGCCAAGGCTGGGCCGGAGGGGGAGGATGCAAGGGCAACCTTCCCAGACCCCCGACGTCATGATTTTTTCATGACGTCGACCCCCAGAGACCTCGACCCATTCCCTGGGATCGTTGCTTCATCTGGAGTCGATTTTTGACGGTCCCGAGGGCCGGTGAGGGCCTCCGATGGCCGAAAAGTAGGAAGAACCTCCCGTCATGATTTTTTCCTTACCCGAGGGGGTCTGGGTTATGCGCGTCGACTGTAGATCGGCACCGCCGGGAGGAGCCAGGGATGGCCCTCCTGCTGGCGTGGGCCCCCTGTGTCGCGGAAGCCCGCTCGAGGGGCGCCCCCAGGCGCCCAGCTCGGGGAGGCCTCGTGCGCGGTGGCCCGCTGGTGGCGGGGGTGTCGCTCCTCCTAAGTCGGGCGTGGCCCCCTACAGGGGGCTCTTGGGCGAAAAATAAAAACATCCAACAAAAATACTCCAAAATGATTTTTTTAATGCAGTAACATGGTCCCCAGACTATTTTTTACTATTTTTGAATATTCCCCCTGTGGAGGCACAGGCCCGACTTCACGCTTCTCATTGCTCCCGTCCTTCCTCCAGGGCTCTTCCTCGAGAGATTTGGTGCTGGAGATGTGGTAAAAAGTGTTTCGGCGATAGCCCGGGTTATCCAGTGGGGGGGGTTCCAGCCGATAGCATTCTCTTTCGCTTCGGGCGGCCCCACGTATGCACGGGCGGACCCAAACTGCGTACCCACTTCGGACCTGCGGCACCGACGAGGTCAAATCATCCAGAGGGGAGAGGGGGTGACGAGCGGGCCCGATGACCTGGGAAATCGCCGGACCCCCGACAAACAGTCTGCAGACCCCCATCACCTCGCAGAAAATCCCGACGGGCGGCGGTTGGGGAACACTTCAACTTTCCTGGGCTCTCAGCGGCTCCGCGGGACCGTCCGAACCGATTCAGGATGAGATGCCAATCCTGGCAAGGGAGCCAAGACCTCCAGGCTCCAGTCGTGGCACAGAACACGACGTAGGGGGTCTGGTCCCCCGAACCCCGATTGGTCTTCAGAACCCCCCGCCCCCAAAATACTCGGGGATAAATGATCTTTTCGGCGACCTCATTGACGGGCTGGGGTCCCACAGATAGTGGGATATTGATGTTCCTCCGCCGCACCCGCCGCACAACGACGACAACGACGACGACGCCAAGCTACGATTACGATTACGATTACGACTACGAGGAGGAGGGAGAGGGAGGAGGAGGACGAGGATGAAAATGAGGAGGAGGAGGAGGAGGAGGAGGAGGGGGAGGAGGAGGAGGAGGAGGAGGAGAAGGAGGAGGAGGAGGGGGAGGAGGGGAGAGGAGGAGGAGGAGGAGGACAGGAACAGGACGAGGAGGAGGAGAACGAGGAGGAAGAGGAGGAGTTGTTGTTTCCCCGCCGAGAGCCCCGCCCGGAGAAACAGGGGGGGAACCCAACACGAAAGACCTCTTCGGGCTGCTCCCTCCCTCCATCCATCCCTCCATCCATCCCTCCTCCTCCCTCCTCCTCCTCCTCCTCCTCCTCCTCCTCCTCCTCCACCCTCCCCTTTCTCTATCCCTCCTCCTCCTCCCTCCTCCTCCTCCTCCCTCCTCCTCCTCCTCCTCCTCCTCCTCCTCCTCCCTCCTCCTCCCTCCCTCCCTCCCTCCCTCCCTCCCTCCTCCCCCTCCCTCCCTCCTCCCTCCCTCCCTCCTCCCTCCTTCCTCCCTCCCTCCCTCCTCCCTCCCTCCCTCCCTCCTCTCCCTCCTCCCTCCCTCCCTCCTCCTCCTCCTCCTCCTCCTCCTCCTCCTCCCCTCCTCCTCCTCCTCCTCCTCCTCCTCCTCCTCCTCCTCCTCCTCCTCCTCCTCCTCCTCCTCCTCCTCCTCCTCCTCCTCCTCCTCCTCCTCCTCCTCCCTCCTCCTCCTCCTCCGCCTCCTCCTCCTCCTCCCTCCTCCTCTCTCCTCCTTCCTCCCCTCCTCCCCTCCTCCTCCTCCTCCCCTCCTCCTCCTCTCCTCCTCCTCCTCCTCCTCCTCCTCCTTCCACCTCCTCCTTTCGCTATCCCTCGCCCTCCCCTCCTCCCTCCTCCCCTCCCCCTCCTCCCTCCTCCTCCTCCCTCCCTCCTCCCTCCCCCTTCCCTACCTCCCTCCCTCCCTCCCTCCCTCCCTCCCTCCCTCCATCCCTCCCTCCCTCCCTCCTCCTCCTCCGCCTCCTCCTCCTGCTCCTCCTCCCGCGTCCTCCTCGTCTCTCCTCCTCCTCCTCCTCTCCTCCTCCTCCTCCTCCTCCTCCTCCTCCTCCTCCTTCCTCCTCCTCCTCCTCCTCCTCCTCCTCCTCCTCCTCCTCCCCTCCTCCTCACTCCGTCCTCCTCCTCCTCCTCCTACCCCTCCACTCTCCCTCCTCCGCCTCCCTCCCTCCCTCCCTGCCTCCTCCTCCTCCTCTTTATCCTCATCGCATGTCAGCCATCTCCTCTTTTTTCAATCGCTTCGCTCATTCCGCCGACCCGTATTGTGCCTCCCTCCCTCCCTCCCTGCCTCCTCCTCCTCCTCTTTATCCTCATCGCATGTCAGCCATCTCCTCTTTTTTCAATCGCTTCGCTCATTCCGCCGACCCGTATTGTGCCATCGCAGGCGTTTGCTTGCGCGTTCGTGGCCTCTTGGAGCCTCGGTGGGGCCGTTTGAGGCCTCTTGGCGGCTCTTTTTAGGCCTCTTGGAGAACTCGGGAGGCCTCCAGGGGGCCTCCTGAGCTCTCGTGACGGTCTCTTGGGGGGCTTTCGGCGGGCTCTTGGCGGTATTTGTTGGTCCTCTTGGGGCCTGGGGCCTGACGTTGTTGGTCCTCTTGGGGCCTCACGGGAGCTTATTGGGGCGTCTTGGGGGTGTCTTGGAGAGTCTCTTGGGGCCTCTTTCGGGGTCCTGGGCGCCTTCTGGGGCGGAGGGCTCGATTTTTCAGTTCTCGGTTCCCTTCTTGAGCCCCTCTTGGGCCCGTCTTGGGGCCTCTTGGTCCGCCTTGGGCAGCACTTGGGCCGTCTGGGGGGCGCTCTTGGGCCGCTCCGGGGCCGTCTTGGGAGCCTCGTGGGCCGTCTTGGAGCAGTCTTGAAGGCCTCTTGGGCCCTCTTGGAGCGTCCGGAAGCGAAAAGGCCAGAACGCAAAAAAACATCGAAAAAACCAATGAAAATCAACGATTTTGGCAACTTGGGGCCCTCTTCGGAGGCCTCTTGGAAGGCCCTTGGAGCGTCTTGGAGGCCTCTTGGGCTGTCTTGGGGCCATCTGGGGCGTCTTCGGGCGATCTTTGGCCGTCTCGGGCCTCTCTTGGACCGTCTAGAAAGCTTCTCGGGGCCCTCTTGGACCGATCTGGAGCCCTCTTGGACTCCGAAACAGAACTCCGGCATCTCTGACCCGACCTTGTGGGGACCTTGCCGGGGACTTGCCGGGACCATGCCGGGGTACTTTTCGTCTGGGGACCCCCAGGGGCCGCCCCGCGCGCGCGAACTAGAAATACTGTTAACCAGGTACCGGAGATCTTAGCACGCCCTGGCCCGTTGGGCCGGCGAAGTATTTCCGCCCCATCACATCTCGGCCAACCCCCAAACGTCGGCCCTCGGCGGCTCAAGCCGCCCGCCGGCGGCCCCATGCGGCGAAGACGGCGGCGGCGAGCACGGCGCCGGCCACGCCGGGCCTCGAGCTCCGCGCGGAGCTCCTCCGCGGAGGTCCGCGCGGGCAGGCCGGTCACCTCGAGCTCGTAGGGCGCAGGCAGCGCCAGCTCCTCCGGGCCCCGGGGCGCGGCGGTCGGGGCCCACGCGGGCGCCGTCCACCCTCGGAGGGCGGCGAGGCCTCCACGGATCCGCTGCTTCCGGCTAGGCTTACGTCGGGCGTGTCCCCCTACAGGGGGATTTTCGACGAGAAATAAAACCTGCCCAAACAAATATTCCAAAAAGGTCAGAAAATAACCAAAAAATAATCCCCAGACAATTTTTGGATTATTTTTGGACTATGTTTAGGGTATTTTCTATTTCCGGCGAAAATCCCCCTGTGGGAGACACGCCCGACGTAAGGCTGGGCCCCTCATGGGCTCAGGAACGGCATACGCGCCCACAAGCCTGGCCATAGGGAGGCAGGGGGGCACCGCGCGCACCGATCTCCTGGGCCCAGGCTCGCCCTGGCCGGGGGTGCCGGAGATGTGTAGACTTCGGTCGGGCATGTCCCCCCACAGGCGGATTTCGGACGAAAACTTGCAAATACTCCAAACGCTGGTCAACAAATGCACCACCGAGGAACCCCACATACTTATACTACATCTGGCGTGATGATATTGGTGGCCGGTGCCCCGACGATACCCTTGGTGACGCCTGCCAAGCGTTGGGAACCTGACATGCTGTGCGACCATAAACGAGGACAACGGCGCACCCCCCGTGGCGTGGAGAACATGCCACGCCTGCCACGCCCCGCGACCCTGGGACGGATAGCGGCTGCGATGAGGCACCACCCCGTGCGCACCCCACGGCGTGGAGAAAATGCCGCGTCTGCCGGCCGCACCCTGCGACCCTGGGACGGATAGAGACCACGCTCAGGGACCACGCCCTGTGCCCCCCCCCAGCTGTGTGGGGGGAAAACGCCACGCCGGCCACGCTCCGGGACCCTGGGACGGAGAGAGACCGCGGTGGTGGACCACGCCCTGCGCACCCCCTGTGGCGCGGAGAAAGTGCAGCGTTTGCCACGCCCCGCGACCGTGGACGGATGGAGACCACGGAGAAGGACCACCCCATACGCACCCCCTGTGGTGTGGCAGTGGGCGCGGCACACGCTGCGGCGGGTGACGCCAGGTCAGCGCCAGCGTGGCCGGCCTCGTGCACGTCGCTGGACCCTTCGCCGCCGTCGTCGTCCGCCTTCTGCCACGGCAGATCAAAAGAAAGCAATCGAAAAACCGCCCCTACTTTCGAACACTCCGCCAGCGGCCGTCGGCCTCTCACCTGGAGCGCTCGCGCTGGCGCCACCACCGCGCCGGCGCGGGAGCTGCCCGCCTGCGCGTGCACGCCGAGGGCCGGCAGCGCGCCCCAGGGGGAGTCCTTTTTCGGAAAGGGGCAGAGGCGTTCGCAGAGGCGGCGGCGGGGCGGGCGCTCGCAGAGAGTGTCCGTGGCGCCTTCGGGGGCAGCCGAGGAAGCCTCCTGGGAGGCCCGAGGCATCCCGAGCCTTCTGAGGAGGAGGAGGAGGAGGAGGAGGAGGAGGAGGAGGAGGAGGAGGAGGAAGAGTAGGAGAAGGAGGAGGGGGAGGAGGAGGAGGAGGAGGAAAAGGAGGAGGAGGAGGAGGAGGAGGAGGAGGAGGAGAAGGACAAGGAGGAGCAGGAGAAGGAGGAGGAGGAGGTGAGGAGGAGGAGAGGGAGGAAAATAATGAGAGAAAGAGAGCAGTTGGAGCCCCCAAGATGATATCCCGTCGTGGTCGTACGTACCTCCCCCACCCGGCCCACCGCCGAGAGGAGGGGACACACCTCGGGCTTCGTAAACGGGGCTTCAGCTAAACGGGGGCCTGGGCTGTTCCATGTGCCCCCGCTTGCGGTGCCCCCGTCTACGGCGCCCAGGGCCCCCTATGAACGGGGGCACAGCCGAACGTGGAAATCGGCGCGCCCCGTGCCCCGGTTTGCTGTACCCCCGTCTCTGGCACCCCGAACATCCGCTCAAAATCAGTCCCCAGACTCTTCTAGGGGCCTATATGGTGCAGCTTGTTTCACCCCGATGCGTTGTTCAGTCCTGGGGCCAGAAGACGGCCCCAAGAGGCCGATCAAGGCAAACAAATGTCCTTCTCCAGAGCCTCGAACCTGCCCAATCTTCCTGCTGGCAGGAACCAGTGCTGGGCCACCTCAGACAACCAACAAACCACCACGGAAGACAACGTTGTCCGACGACGCCGAAGCCGGTTCCCATGTTGTCGGGAGGGGTTCCGAAGACTTCTCGGAAGGCCATGGGACTTCCGATCCTTCTGAGAAGGCCCGCCCGCTCTCTGGCGCAACCAAAAGGTACCGATACCGCGAATTCGCATACCTTTCCAGGGGTGCATTCCGACCAGGATTTCGAGGCGAATCTGGCGGTGGCGACGAGGGCCTCCGAGGAGTTCGGAAAAGGGGAACACAAGCGAGGGGTGGCGGCATCGGTGCCGCTTCCTCATTGGCCTCTCACCTCCCCTCCCGGGCTCGCCGCCGACACATCTCTCGCGCGCCCGAATATTCGTGCTTGCGCTCTCCCTCTCTCTCTCGCTTTCTCTCTCTCTCTCTCTCTCTCGCTTTCTCTCTCCCTCTCTCTCTCTCTGTCTTCCTCATTATTTCCTTGTTTTCGTTATATATATATCTCTATATAAATGTGCAAACAACTATATATATACAGTTATATATAGTTATACATATATACACACATATATATATACTCACACAATCGTATATATATATATATATATATATATATATATATATATATATATAAAAAAAAATATATGTATATACAAATATATATTATTGACAAACAAAGGCCAGCATCGCGACGTCGGAGGCCCGCGGCCACTCCCCCTCGCCAGCGGCACCGGACACCGGGGCCTGCGGCCCCGCGCCCGGGACTCCGGCCGGTCGGGGCGAGCGAGCCCGGCGGAAGCCCCCCGCCCCCCCCCCCGCAGAGGATGCCCCCCCCCCCCCCCGGCGAGGCGCGGCTGGCGGGAGGCGCGCGCGAGGGGCGACAGGGAGCGTTACCACAGGGGGGGAGGGGAGGGGGAGGGGGAGGGGAGAGGGGGAGGGGGAGGGGGAGGCAGGCAGGCAGCGATGAAAGAAGTGTCAGGGTCACTGACACCCCCCAGCACCCTCAGACGAGGAAGGAGTGGCGATCGCAGCAGGCGAACACCGTGTGGGGGGAGGTGGGGAGGGACGGCGGTCCTGCAACGCAATGCGGCGAGACCCCCTACCGTCCCCCACTGCCACCACCTCCCGCCCCCGCCAGCGGCAGCGCCACCAGGAAGTCCAGGCGAACGTCCATGGGCTCGGCGGCGGGGTCGTCCGTATCGAAGCGGACGGAGGCAGAGCGCTCCCCGACGGCGATGACGGTCACCTCGAAACCCGCCAAGGGGCCTCGGCAGAGTCGCGCCCGCACGTCGGGGGCGAGGGCGGGCGGGCGTCCAGGGCCGCGGCGGCCAGGCAGCACCGTGAGGCCATCCGCCCACTCATCGTTCAGCTCATCCTCGAACGCGTCCTGACCTGCAGCAGGCCCAGCAGCGACATCAGCGAGAGGGAGGCCCACAGGGGCAGGCTGCGGACGGCGCCGCCGCCGCTGCCTGCGACCGCCCCCCGTGGCGTCCTCCATCACGTGGTCCCTAACCGCCTCGCCGCCGCCAGCACGAACTTCATCAGCCCCATCACCGGGGCCCGCAGCACCACCGCCACGGCCTCCGCGCCCTCGCCGCCGCCGCCGCCGCGCGGGGGCAGCTGCAGCGCCAGGCACGGGCGCAGGCGGCTCGGCGGCAGGGCTCCGCAAGCCCGCCACCGCCGCGCGCAGAAGGCCCTCCGCGGCGCGCAACAGGCGCACCCCATCGCGGGAGTGCCCTGCTGCCAGCCCCGCGGCCGCATGCGCCGCGAGGAGGGCCCCGCGGGCCGCCTCCTCGGCGCGGCGCAGGCCGGCGGCCTTCGGCGAGAGCGAACCCGGCATCGGCCACGCGGCGAGCGCGCCGAAGGCGCGGCCCAGCGGCACGGGGCGAGGGGGAGGGGGAGGGGGAGGGGGAGGGGGAGGAGGGAGGAGGAGGAGGAGGAGGAGGGGAGGAGGAGGAGGAGGAGGAGGAGGAGGAGAGGAGGAGGAGGAGGAGGAGTTCTTTCCGAGCTCTTTCAGGCCGCCACGTCGTGGGACGACCGCGCGGGCGCGCGCTCGGCGCGCGCGCGCGGCTCAGCGCTGCCCCGCAGCACTGCGCTCCCCCTCCCTCGGCCCCCGCCCACAGGGGGACGTGGCGGGGTTCAACCGAGGGAGGCTCGCGAGGGTCTGGAGCAGGGCGCTGCAGTCTCCTCCCTGGCTCCGCCTCGCGAGGCGGTGCAGGTCCTCCTCGCAACTTCTGCACGCATTTCTCGCATTCTCTCACGGTGGCCCGACCTCAGCACTGTAGCTGGTCACGTTGGGCTGCCGCTTCACTCTCGCTCTCTTCTCGCGCGCGCCTTATCGGGATGCGTCTCTTGCCCTGCGTGCTCTTCAGGACCATCTTCGCGAAGTCTGGTCTGAGAGGCCACGTGGGCCTGCCGTCTGAGCCAATCAGGGTGAAGGGGCTGAACTTCCTGCTAGGTGTGATGCTGTACTTCTGGTATCGGGTCTCGAGCTTCTGCTGGTCTTTCTCTGGGAGGGGGCCCCACTCGCCGAGGACATCCTTCGCTCCCCATTGGGCCCCAGCGCTCTCGCATGCCCTGATCCCAGTGCTGAAGCTGATCGCATCGGGCACGACCGTCGCCTCCCACTTCTCGCACGTGCTGTTGCCATGGCCTTTGCCTCCTGCCAGCCACGTTGATGCGATCACTTTTCGAGCCATCCACATGGCCCTGCTGGTGCCGTCCATCCGCGGTCCGTCCGATGGAGGCTGAGATCCAGACCCAGCCATGGCTACGAGGAACTGTAGCTGGGCACGTGTGGGCTCCGCTTCACCGCCAGCTTCTCGCACCTGCTATTGCCCGTCTTTCTCGCGCGTACAGCCTGCGCCGTCCTGAAGCTGCCACTGCCCGTCCTTCTCACACGATTTGGTCACTCCCACTGTAGGCTGCCACTGCCCGTCCTTCTCGCGCGCACCGACTGCCTCTCGTAGCTGCCACTGCCCGTCCTTCTCGCACGGACTGGCCGCTCCCTCTTGTAGCTGCCACTGTCCGTCCTTCTCGCACGAACTGTTCGCTCCCACTAGAGGCTGCCACTGCTCTTTCTTCTCGAGCGCACCGACACCATCCTCTTGAAGCTGCCACTGCTCGCCATTCTCGCACGCACAGTCCGTTCCTTCTTGAGGCCGCCACTGCCCGTCTAAACTGGCCGTTTCGCAAGCACCTTTCTTGATGGTGTAGCAGATGACGTTTGGATT